GCACGCACGCACGCACGCTTACCTGCCTTATACAGTCTTAACTAATTACTTACTTACTTCCCTTCCTTCTATTAGGCATACAATACAAACGTAACCCTAAGCAACTGAAGTTGTTGGTTCGAGCTGGCTTGCATGCCCCAGGGTGCCAGGAGCTTGCGGGACCTCATTGGGGGGGCCTTTTGTTTCCGGGCCTCGATTTCCATACATGGGTCGACTGGGCTTGGACTATTCAGAAATGAAGTTTGTAAGACTACTCGGATTTGATGGGAGCGTACTACCTCAGTTTAATTCCTAGGTGGCCATCACCCTCGCCTGCTGAAAATGCTTGGCAAGCTTGTGCAGATACCTGGGCGATGGTGGCTGGAGAAAACAAGCTTAAAGTCATTTGGGCCGAACACTTCCCCAATGTGGATCTATAGAACCAGATTAAAGCGATACTGATACTTACTATGCAGCGTGGGTTTCTTCGAACTTAAGGCTACAGCCGCAAGGGATCGAACGCCCACCCCAGTCTCAAACCAGCAAGCTTAGAGTTTACCTAGACCCTCCATCTACACTCTATTAGACCCCAAATGCGCATTATTTGGGACCATATACCCCTATTTGAGGGTACAAGGAAGGTCCTGGTAGGCTTATGTTCTGAGGGCTTCGGCTTCCAATTCAGAGCTTCGGTCTTAGCCCTAAATCCAAAGAAGCGAAGACCTTGAAAAGCCCAGAATAAACCCCTAAACCTAAACTATAAACCTTACACCGAAACCCTAAACCCTAAACCTTAAACCCTACATGCTAAACCATAATCGTTACACCTTTTGGATTGGGATTTAGGGTTTCAAGTCAATGCCACGCTTTATTGCGCCATGATTTAGCTTCAAGATCAGCATCATAAGGTCAGGGTTTCAGTTACTTGAATGATGGGGTAGTGGGTCTTATATCATGTTATATCACTGCATACGGTACTATATGATACCATGTATTCTTTCATCGATTTATACATTATAATATATTGCATGATTCTGTATATGATAAGCAACCTACTAGTTTAAATCACGGGAGCCCTGGGGTCAGGCCAGCAGGAGTCGTGGGACTTCCCAGATGATCGTGGGATGTATCACGCTGATGCGGGTTGGGGTTTAGGGGTTTACAGTCGGGGTTTGGGGTTTAGGGTTTTGCGTTTAGGGGTTTAGGGTAGTTCTAGAAGACGCCTCGACCGGACTACGTTTACTTTCGGCTCCATTTTGGGGTCTGTGTGGGTGGATGGTTCGGGGCTTCGTTAACGGTTTAGGGTTCCGGGTGTAGGTAGAGTCTCAAAATCCTGGGTTTACAAACCTCGAGGGCGGAGATAGCACTTAAAAGATTGAGAACTTGGCAATGCCCTAAACCCTAACCCTAAGGGTCCAAGTACCTAATAATCATATACTCTCCCAAATATTAACCTAGATAACTACTCTACGTAACCAAAGTATCTAATTATTGGGTCCTTTGGACCCTTAGGGTAAGCGCTAAATCTTTAGCAGCGAAAGCTTCTCACCCTCAGAGCTACCCCTGAAGACCCTCACATATTCAGCCTCAAGCTGTCAAGCCCTTAAAATCCAATACAACCTTACACATAACCCTAGGAAGCCTAGGAATTAGGATTAGGGGGACCCTTGAGGATATAGACCCTCTCAAGAAGGTCCCTTTTTAAGAGAGCCAGAAGTAGGGTTCAGAAGGGTCACCTTTTAAGGGGACTCCCTACTACTACCTAGGAAAACCCACGAAGTTCCTGCGGCGCCCCTAAACCCTAAACCCTGGCTCAACCCTAAACCCTAAACCCTAAAGCGTGGCTCAACCCCAAACCCTAAAATTTCTTGACCGCGGTGCTTCCCCGCGCCGCAGCCCAGATCCACACAGCGGCCTTCGCTGCCTTCCTTCCGGGCACAGGCCTGGAGGGGAGAAGTAGGGCAGTAGGGATTGGGGTTTAGGGTTTAGGGTTTAGCATGCGTAGCTAGTTGTAAGTGGAGTTATAATCCCCACATATGGGTAATCATTATCGCTACCCGACATATTTTAATCCCGGTCATAACTAGCCATGAACCTGCCAGTAGATAGGGTTTAGGGTTTGGCGATTGGAGCTCACTTATAGTGCATTAATGACTGCTTGTCATTGGCGTTGTCCGCTGTTTAAGGCTTCAGGGTTGTTGTGCTTGGGGCTCAAGTTCTAAACCCTAAACCCTAATCCCATGTTCTCCATGTTCTAAACCCCAAACCCATGTTCTCGATGTTCTAAACCCTAAACCCTAAACCTTAACACAGGCTGTAAACCCTAAATCCTAAACCCAGGCTGTAAACCCTAAATCCTAAACCCAGATTCTAAACCCTAAACCCAGGCTGTAAACCCTAAATCCTAAACCCAGGCTGTAAACCCTAAATCCTAAACCCAGATTTTAAACCCTAAACCCTAAACCCAGGTTCTAAACCCTAAACCCTAAACCGGGGTTCTAAACCCTAAACCCTGGAGGTTCTTTGGGGCTTTCTGAGATTGTTTCCTGCTTGGAGCTGTGGTGACGTTTGTCGGGTTTGGAGTGCTTGGAGGTTCATGGGTAGTTATAAGTGGAATTATAAGTAGGGTAACTATAATTATAAACCCTAAACCCTAAACCCAGGTTCTAAACCCTAAACCCTAAACCCGGGTTCTAAACCCTAAACCCTAAACCCGGGTTTAGGGGATTTATAACTCCACTTATAACTGCCCATGAACCTCCAAGTGGAGCTCCTCAGGGTTTTGGGAGGCATGGAGTGTGGGACTGAGGATATAGGGCTCAGGGTTTAGGGTTCAGGATATAGGGT